GCAGCAACGTGAGCACCCGTGGAAATGGAAATGGAAATGGCAGTGGAAGTGGAAGGCAAAGCCAAAGCCAAGTTAAGAGCCACATGGCCACATATCTATGAAGCCAGAGCCATGTAGCCACAAGCGTTCGCGTCGGCCATAATGCGAAATCCGAATGCGTTACGTGCCTACATATGTAACTGGGTGCATGTGTACATACATACTATACATATGTACGTGCATGCGAACTTGTACATATGTTTTTCTGCACGCGTACTACACGCAACATGGCGTCGCCACTGCACACACACACGCACACACACTGGCCAAAAGAGAGAGAGCGAGCGGGAGAGCAGGACGGAAGATGCAGCAACGCTTTCATCGGAATTTCGTTGCTGCATTTTTTGGTTTTTTATTTCTGCTTTTCGTTGCGGCATCTTGCTCTTCTTCTTCCTCCTCCTCCTGCGGCTTAACGTTTTGTAAGCTTTCAGCATTGTTTTCTTTTTTTCCGATTTCTTTACCTTTTTTACGGGGCATTTAGCTGCCTGCATATTTGATGCAAATTTCGTCTAAAGAAGAAATCGTTAGAGGGTTCCTGAATATTAAGTATACGCAAAGCCCCCGAAAGCACATCAAGTATACGCCCCCAAAGTCAAGTGCAAATTTGGGGAATGCATAAAATGATTCTAACATTAGTTTGAATTAAATTCGAGCATTATTGACTTGCTATTTTTTATTGAGATATTTTAATAAACTTTATAGTCAGTTCTAAATCCCCTTTATCTTCAGTCAAAAATTGTTTTTCTGTGTTTTTTCATCGAAAAAGCAGCATTTCGGGTTTCAATGCAAGTACTTTTTATTTCGATGGTTTTTTTGTCGCAAACCCAAAAAAACGTATATTAATATTTATTTGTCTAGCTAAATACACCAACTAACTCTCAACTTCCATGGCTAATTTCAATCACTCAAAGCTGTAAGGAATTGAGTTATTTCTTTCCGCCCCAAACAATATTTCCATTACCCAATGAAGCATCCAAACCATCGATGTCATTTTCAGCTGACAGATTATAAGCATTTTTTGTATCTATTGATCTGCCCGTATAATCAAGCCGTTCTCTTATCTAACCTCCCCTGCTATTTTCAACGCCCGAGTCCACACTTGACTCCATACATGACCCAACTATTAAGCCAATCGCATGGTGGCCATCAACTCGTCCCTCCCACTCCCACTTCCACTTCGAATTCCACCTCCATTTCCATTGCCAAAGCAAAGCCCATCCCGGCTGTTCCCATTCGTAGTGCCAACTGTGGCAAGTTTGCGACGATGAGCGTATTGATGGTGCGGCTGTCTGCAGCGGATTCGGATTCGGATTCAGATTCAGATTCTGTTGCTGATTTTGATTCCGATGTGGATGTCGATGGCTCGTCCGTTTGCTGACGGAATGCCATGTTAGATGGCAGCAAACATGCCGCTCGATGGCAAGAGTCGGGCCAGGCCGACTTAATTGCATATTTGCATAGGCGCAGAGCAGAAAAACACACGAAATGCACACACACCAGTGCAGCTACGAGTAAGTAGAACACGAGTGAAAAAATCAAAAAAGAAACAGCGACGTTGGGGCGCCTGCCTCTTCGGAGAATGGGAGATTTCGAGGGTGTGGCCCCCAACGGAGGTGGATACTTGCGGGGGGACAGCAGGGGGATACGGATGCCGATGCCCATTTGCATGCAGCACTGGCGGGAGAAACTGCAGCGAAACTGCAGCTAGAAAAGAAAAATATGCCACCTATTCCTGCACTCGTTTTCCCCCTTTTTTACCCATTTTCCCATCTTTTTGCGGCCGGTCGTCTTGTTGGAAAACCAATACCAATCCAATTTATCCAACCAGCCACATATCCATCAATCCGGGGCAAGGCATTCACCAATCCATTCATTTCCATAGAAATGTGCGAAGATTATATGTTTCGTCAAACGCGAAATTGCGCACGAATATGCCAGAGACCCTCCGCCTCCATCTCTCTTTTGGCCAACTCCGAAACTCTGAATCCAACTGCAACTCCCCCGACTCCTTGGTGTCATGGTTGTTGGTCGGTGCCCGAGTTTGTACCTCTCTTTTTTCTCTTCTGTTTTTATTTTGGCCCGGCTCAGTGGAAGCGGTTTTGAGGCTGCACCATGCACACATGCCCGCTCGTTTGGCTGCCATTGTGGTTGCTGCAGCTAAAACGGGGCGTATGAGTGTTTTTCAGCCATCTTCCCCGCCAACAAAAAAAGCAAAACAAAACAAACCCACTGAGGTCCCAAAGGTTTTTTGGGCTTGGTTGGCTTTCATCTGGGGTTTAAGTACAAGTTGTTAAGGCTCCTGGTGATAAGATATGCATTTGCACTCCAAAAGTTGGGGATTTGAATAATATATCACGACATACCCATGTAGCTCTTATACCGTTTAATTTATTTTAATTTTTTTGTTTCACATTCACTTATCACAGAAATTTTCCAAAGCTTTACATAAAAATTACATTAATGTTGTAAGTAGAATTATAATTAGTTATAGAAAAATCCCAACTTAACAATGCGGTTGAAAGATATTTAGTATATTTAAACTGGAGTTTATTTTTAGGAGTTTGATTTTGATATGATTTGATAAATTTTATTTTTTTGGATTAAAATTATTTAACACAAACATTTAAAAAATTTAAATTAACAATGTATCTAACAGATATTTAGTATTTAAACGACCATTTATTTTCAGGATGCCTGCAATTACAGCTAAATATAAAATCGATTACGCCCAGAAAAAGTATGAATTTGTCTGCTCGAATCGAAGGAAAAGAATGGCCAAGGAGTAGTCGTGTCACAGGGGCTTTGTTAATATTTTATGCCAATTTACTTTTCAAATTGCAGACACACACTGTGCAAAATTCTCATGTTACTTTCCTCCTTCTCTGGGGAGTGTGGGTACTTTGCATGCCATTGTTGGGTTCCTCTTCCGACTCTTCCGAACTGCAATGTGCGATGATTGCTCCCTTTGGATGTTACGACCTCTCTCGTCACTTTGTTTTAAAGTGTTTCCCCGTCCAAGCAGTCGGATTTTCCTCCGGATTCCCTGGCCACCCATTGTGCCCCTTGGTTTCTCTAGTTTTTCTCTATTTCTACTACTTACTCCTCTCCGTTTTAGTTATGGGTTTCACTGCTGTTTTTTGTAGAGTAACAATTATTCCTTAACTGCACTTTAGCAGCACAAAATGTCAGGCCCACTGAATGTTCATTATAAAATTCCATCGGCAGTTTCTTCAGCATTCGCTTTTCCGATTTCGCAGGGGAAAAGGGGGGAAAATCGTTCAATACACAGAACGTATGCAAAGAATAGAAAAATGTATGACTGTGGCGAGGGCATTACGTGTCTGTCAAACATTTCCGCCAGCGGTTCCCTGCTCCATGATGTTCGCCATCACGGAATACGAGCCAAATACAACGTTACAAACGTTACAAACGAAAAAAAAGCACACCACAAAATGTACAAAAACGTTCTTATCTCGGGCGGTGTGCGCGCACAAGAAAAAGGAGTGCAAAACCAGGGCCAAAACCCAAAACGTGGCCAAAAGAGGTGAAAGGGGGGAGGGGGGGATGACGTTAACCCACCATGGCCGCCATCATAGCCCCGCACGAAGCATTCGCGACTCACGTCCAATGCGCACCGCGTTCTGATTCGTTTCGCTTTTTGCATGACTTGAGATCGTAAAAAATTCATATTTTTTCTCTCGTTTTTTTCGTTGTGTTTTTTACTTTACTTATTTTGTTTGCCTGCGTATGGTGCAGGAGGAAGCCAGCTTTTGCGGGCGTTTTCAGAGCCGGTCATAATATTTAACTCACCGCTCCCTCCCGGGGTTGCTTTTGCTTTTCATTAGGTTTTTGCGGCGAACGGACCGCCATATTGCCTGCGCCGCAAGGAGCAAGGAGCAGGATGGAGGGTGAAGGGTGGAGGGATAGGGACATCCACCATCTTGCCTCGCCTCATTTGGTTCGTTATTGCTCATTTCTTTTCCCGGCCTGCCAGATTAATGGGTGCGATAAGGTCGCCGGCCGCCAGTAGGTGTAGCCCAAGACCCCAGTATCCGATACCCATTTCCCCTACCCTTACCCACATCCAAACCCAAGTCCGGACGCCAGGAGGCTTTGGATTCGGCCATCCTCCAACCCAATATGGTAGCCTTCGCACATCCACGAGGCCCGCATGCCAAGTTTGGGTTTTCCCTTCCGCGCCTTGGAATGCGCTGTTTTTGGCCAAAACGAAGCCAAAGGGCACTGCCATTCCAGCCTGCCTGCTCTGTTTTCCTTCTTGCTCTTCTTCTTTCACTGACTTTGACTCTGACTCTGGGTAAAAAACAAATTCTTATCTACCAGCAGGGATCTCCAGCCAATCCCGCCCCGTTTTATGAGTCACAACAAGGAGAAGTTGGATCGAATTCGGATTATTTTGGCTGGCTTTGGAGGTGCTGATGGCAGATAAAAAGCTCTGAAAGGCTGGATTGAATTTAAGAAGAATGGCGATTTAAAATATGATTTTAGGTAACAACATTTTCCTCTGGAAGTCACCCAGAAACTTAGTTTTAGTTCTAGACTTTATTATAAGTATTTATTTTGAGGCAATTTCTTCTTGCTTACTTTTTGAATTTCACATTTTTTTTCCCGAAATAATCTTCAAAATCACTATTTTCTGGTTAATCTCCTAAATAGTGCCATGTACTTTTATCTAGTGTTTTTTATTGCCAGCTCTCAACTAATGTACACAAACTCACCCCGAATTGGATGTTTTTGTGAACCCCACAAGGTCATCATCCACATGTCTCCGCGAATTTGACCCAGTCCCAGTCTTGGTTTTCTTCCACAGCCTGCGTCATGTGTCTAGTGACCGTGAAAGCTGATTCTGAATCTGAATCCGCATAGTTTGTTTGCACAGCTGAAACTTCAGGTTCTGATAAAAGCAGCAGGAACAAACGCTGGCCAACTTAGTTGCCTCTACCATGTGGCGTCTGTTGCTGCTCCTCCAGCTACTGTGCATTGGCCTGGTTAATGCCCAAATCCAGCCGAGAATCGTGGGCGGCACCACCACCACCCTGTCGGCGGTGGGTGGCTTCATGGTGAACCTGCGCTACGATGGCAAATTCTACTGCGGTGGCTCCCTGGTGAGCAGCAGGCACGTGGTCACGGCGGCCCACTGCCTCAACGGCTACAAGGCGGGCAGGATAACCGTCCAGGGAGGCGTGAGCCAGCTGAGCCAGACGGGCGTCGTGAGGAGGGTGGCCAAGTACTTCATCCCCAACAGCTTCAGCAGCTCCAGTCTCAACTGGGACGTGGGCGTCGTCCGGCTGCAGTCATCCTTAACGGGCAGTGGGATCACCACGATACCCCTGTGCTCGGTTCAGTGGAATGTCGGCGACTACATGCGCGTCTCCGGCTGGGGAGTCACTCGCTACGGCAACTCCAGTCCCTCCAATCAGCTGCGCACCGCCCGCATCCAGCTGATCCGCAAGAAGACTTGCCAGGCGGCCTATGCGAACAAGGACTCCCTCACCGCCTCCACCTTCTGTGCCCGCTCCGGGGGCAAGGACAGCTGCTCCGGCGACTCGGGAGGAGGAGCGATCTTCAATAACCAACTCTGCGGCATCGTCTCCTGGGGACTGGGATGCGCCAATGCCCAGTATCCTGGCGTCTACACCAGCGTCAATCGGGTGCGCAGCTTCATCGTCGGCGCCATGAAGAAGTAGTGAGAGGTGCGGATGCCCGGATGCCGCAGCTATTAATAGTTAGTTAAAATATTAATTAAAAATCGTTACGACCAAGTGCTGGGCATCTCCTCCTGTCGTTAGTCGTCAGGAAGCCCTTGGTTCGGCCCAAACCGGATGGGCGATGGGTTGATAGAGACGATGGGCGATGAAGATATCTGCTATCGGCTTTGTGGCCTCGCCGCATGTAAATTGGCAGGTAATGCACAGTGCTTGGAAACTAGGGGAAAATGAGGGAGCTACTTGATAAGATTGTTTGTATTTTGGTATAAAAATAAAATACTAAATGAAAATTAGATTAAAAATGTTTGTGTGACATCAAAAAACAAAATTCTACATGAAAAAACCTTAAATTATGAATGAGAAAGTCGTTCGATGGATAGAAAAGCAAATGATCTTCCTAGTAAACTCAACCTTTAGCCACTGTGCTCTTCCAAGGAACGGCAAAGGGCCTGCTATCGATGAGTGGCCACTTCCGACTGTTGACTTTGTTGTCGCGCGCTAATTTCCAGCGATTGTTGCCTTGATTTGCATTGATTGGGATTGTGGAAGGAAGGTTCCTGTACCGCCTGTACCTCCAGTACCTCCAGTTCCTCCAGCGGAAGGAAGCTGGGCGCTAAGCACTGACCACCGCGGTGGCACGGGTCAGTTGCCCAGGTACAAGTAAGCTTTCATATCCCGTCCACCGCTGATTGCCTCTAATTTCAGATAAATTAAGTGCAGTTAAAGCGCCACTTAACACGTGCTGAGGTGCCCGCTGGTCAGTGATCTGGTGACAACCAACGGATCCAGCGGATCGAGCTCATTTGCGTAATTGATCGAGGTGACCCGTTCGCTGGAATGGATGCGTTTAAGATAAAACTGCAGTTAATATGCTCTACAATTGCGATTTCCCTAACGGTGGAGCACCGCAAGCGAGCCTAATCAATCGATGATTGTCGCAATTTCTAATGCATTTCTTGGGTTTAATGAGCTCCCGTTTGATTGAGCTCTTAATGGGTTCGAAATTAATACTGCCTTTCACAGGAAGCCGGAAAACTCGGGAAGGTGGGGAGGTCAAAAATTGTGTGTGTCATTCGATTCAATTTGTGCTAAGTAGTTTCCCTTACCCAATCAAGCTCCGAAAATAAAGTGCTAATTGCAGCCGAAAGGTTTCCCATCCAAGTCCACAATCCACATTCACATCCACATCCACATCCATCGACAGATTGACAGCCACAAATACACGAATTAGCCAAGGCCCGAATGGCTGTGAATGGGCCTGAATAGGTGGAAACGAGCCAAGTTCCACGGCTAATCAGCTAACCAAATTATTATTATTAAACTCGTTCGCTCATGCCGGCCAATTAGCATTCTGACGGTTTCTGTGCCGCCACTACTGCTGACTGCTGGCCAGAACCAATAAAAGATTGAACGAAAACTTTTGCCGTGGCATATCGACAATTGAATTGCAATTAAGTTGCAGCCAGGTGGGGCAACAAGGGGCAAAGCCACCGCGGCTGCTTATTAGTTTATTACATCAACAACAAATCTCAACAAACGCTAATTAAGACACAAATAATCGAACGTGCCAACACTGAAAGCCAATAATAAGCCATATTGTATGCCCAGGGGTGGTTCCCTCCCCCGCTTGAAGTTCGAGGGCTTCGATTTGGATATGGTGAAGTTGCCACCCGAAGGGTGGGTTATACATATGTCGGTAGCGGTTGCTAATGGCCGGTAGGGCGGCGTCGGCGGCCGAATAAAGTTGTCCCGGCCAAAAGGACACTCGTGCAACTCAACAAAGGACTATGCAAACGTCTGGAGTTTAATCGGAGCTGGCCACTTGGCTTTAAGCGAGCCTTTTCTTGCCACTATAAGTTAAGTTAAGGGCGAGTATTCAACCTACCAAAAAACCGTGTTAAAGAAAAAAAGCCAAAACTTGGGCAAATATCCGGATCATTATTTTCATAGCAAAATAATCAGTATTTTGCTGGAAGCAATGGAAATGTTGGTCCAAATATTATTATTAAAATCGTAATTAAATTCCCAATCGATTGACATTCAAACCAAAACACTTTGATTTTTGTCCATTTTTTGTAAAAAAATACGATGTAACCCCTTATAAAAATGTAAAAACTGGTTAAAATATTAAAATTATTAAATCGGTCGGAAAATAATAGAATTCAATATATTGGGGACTAGCTGAACAAAACACTGTGTATTTCAGATTTGGGATTCTTTTTGGACAAGTTACGGCAAAAAAACTTATTTTTAGCGAAAATTCAGTTTTTATAAAAATATACAAAACCATTTTTACCGAACCTAATGAAGGACATTCAAATATTTGAAGGAAAATATTCCCTCTTCACCACTATTTCCCATAGTCAAAAATAGTATAACTGTTTTTGGTTTCAGCCCCGTAATACACCTATCGACCCTGTTTCGGCCAGCACTGCTGTCGTCTCCCCTGAGTTTTGGGATCTCTTGCACACAAAAAAATTTGCTTGGTAACATTGACCAACAAAGATAGTTACGTAACTATTAAAATAGTTACGTGTATTTTGTTTTTGCTTTGGGTTTGTGTCTTTGCTAATTGTGTGTATTTTGTTGTTGTGAAATGACAATTTACTTAGTAGAATTGACAATTTTGCTGGTTGGGGCCTGTTTGACAATTATTACAGTTGATTTTACCAAGTTTTTTCTTTGTGTGTGGGCTTGCGTGAGTAGTCGGCAGTCGGGACTCGGAATGGAGTTGGCCACCCACGGGCTGCGGTATTTGAACGACACGCCCAAATTGTCCAACTTGCATTGGCAAAAGGCAAACTAAAACATGGAAAGCCGAAAGCGCGGTACGGGGGGTGTTCACTGTACAGGGTAACCCTTGGAGGGAAAGCGAACGAAAACCAACCACCGCGCAGCGAGCGACCGCAGCCGCAACCTGTAAAAAGTAAACAGTGACCGGGGTGGGGTGGTGGGCGGGGGTCAGGGGTCACGAGGGGTGTTGTAATGCCTGGTGCGCCGGTGTGCGTGTGTATCTGTGTGGCAATGGCGCGCAATGGCTTGAAAACGTAACCGCAAATGTGGCGGCGTTGGGAAGCAGGAGCGGTTTTCCGGGGCTTTCCGGGAGCGGGCCTGCGTCTGTGTAGGTGTCCTGACAAAAAGGACCTTTCGAGGGGGGTTCCACTGGGAGGGGGCCACAGAGTGCTGAATCTTTTGCCGTTCTTTGGGGACCTCCGCCGGAACGGAAGTGAATGGCACATTATGTTGCCGCAGCTTGACGTGGCCAACAGTTGTGTTGTTGGCCTGCTGTCGTCATCCGGACCGGGTTCAAACAGCCACGTTGCGGGGTGGTAATTGGATGGGCTGTGGGCTGTGGGCCGTGCTCTGTGTACTCGCTATTATGTACTTGTACGCATTAGAGCGACATAATGCGGCCCTCCTCCACTGTCGGCCGGCCATTCAAACTGTTTAAGAGCAAGTTGAGGCACTCCAGCTTCCAGTTCGAGTTTCATTTGCCATTTGCAGTGCGGTTAAAGTTTCTCCAAGGAGCCCGAATCCTTTTTCGATCCAACATTTCGACAGAAAACTGAAAATGGAGTTGGGCAGAGGCAGAGGGTAGTAGAGACAACATTGTCATCATCAAAATCCCATTAGCAACGTATTCAAATGCGTTCGAGTGTAAAACAAGCCGCATTCAATGCACGCACACAGCACTCACACATGGACTGGAGTTTCGACTCATTCATTTACAGTGGCGACATTACGCATCCGTTTGTCCGATTCCCCCTCCATCGCAGTCCACCCATCCAATTTGCATGGATTCGGGTGCAGCGAGAGATCCTTTAAAATCAATGGCAATGCTAGCCTACTTATAGGCCTGGTCCTATCCACACACCCACTCGCACTCCCAGCCACCCGATGCCAGGAACCCTTTTCGGGGTTCGGACTCCATCATCCAATCACCCGTCAGTTGATTCCAATTACAAATCCAAATTTGGGGATGCCCCCAACCTCACCCACCCTCCTCGGGAAATGTGGAGCACTCAAATTAGCATTTGGCTTTTGAAGGAGGTGGAACCCCGGTATCTTGTGTGCATGTGTGTGTGTCCCATACCATATGCCCAATATTTTTACCATTTCCATGTTTGATTTGTAGTGGCCTGCCCGCTGGACTCTCTAATTTGTAAATTTGCTTATTATGGTATGCCCGGACAAATGCGATGATTAGCGATCGAGTTTCCAGAGGAGCATGCAGTTGCACTCAAAAAAAAAATTTAGAAAATCGCCTATGGATTTGCTTTACTGGCGATTTTTTTCTATATTTCTGGAATATTTCTTGAATTTAATGAATTTTGATTAATTGGAAGAAAATTTTCTTTACCAGTAGAAAATTTTTTTATTTTAAAGAAAAAAATCGCCAGTGAAGCAAATCCATAGGCGATTTTCTAAAATTCAGGGCGATTCATTTTCTGAGTGTGGTTGGAACAGAAAGTTAGATAGCGGACTATTGGAAGTTGGAACCCTTTGAGGCACTACATTTAGATATCGACCATTTCGAAACGTAAGCCTTTGTCATAGGAATTTCATTAGTTATGTATTTCCATGACTATCTATAATTAAACTTTTTAAAATATGTGTGTTAGATTTGAAGAGCTATATTTAAGTCACATTTATACCTAGCCTTTAAATTATAGTTTCTTTCGTAAGATATTATTATCAACATTTGAAACACTTTGAAAATGGCTTTTTTTCTTTACTTAATTTTTACTGTAACATGTTTAAAATGAGTCCCAAATCTAAAAGTCAATGTGCTTTAAACAGCTAATAACCCAACCAATTGAATCATATTACTTTCCGACTGGATTTTTCCTAAAAATTGATTTTCTCTTTAGTGTGTAGGTATTCAATATTATTTTTGACCGAAACTAATTATTTTATGTCGAGCCGTAACTATGTTATATAAGCAGATATTAAAAGCTTCATGAAATACTGTTAAAGTT